TCAGATAAAGTATTATCTAGAAAATAATCACTCAAGACTTTCTATGCTAATGATCTATTTTCAACATCATTTAATAAATATTCACCTAATTTCCATGTTTTATTTGGAGCTGATGATATAATTTTGTCTATATTCATTACGATTGGAGCATGGTCGGGCCAATAAATATCTAAGATATCAGATTTCAAGATGTGCGGGATTAAAGCACTCTGAATCATAACCCTATCCAGCCTGGAGCACATATTTTTGGATACAGAATAATAAGTAAAATCTATTTCACCCTCATGGAGCAATCTCCAGGGATCATACAAACCACATTCAATCATGTATTTTGAGTATTTATTTGCTAATCTGTCGCTATCTCTCCAATGGGATTGGTGAGGGTTTTTACTACTTATATATATATATTCTTCTAAGCGCCAGAAAACACAATATCACCTCTATCCCACTTGGTGAGGGTTTTCCCCAACATTATCCAGTTCTCCATCCATGACAAAATTCGTATCACCACACATTAGCAAAATACCTCTCATATTTTCATTCACCAGATCCATCATTTTCCTAAAAAAACTTAATTGACCGGTGTTGGGAAAATAAATATTTACAATTGTATACTTATTGATTTTACCTGTCCATAATAAGTACCTCCCTTCATTGTTAGTTACCACCTTGTCCGTTAAACATGCCACATTCCTGTTGAAGAAAATTGAAGCACCTCTAGACTTAGATTTATAAGCACAATGAAACTTGGTTGGGAAAAGTTTTGACATGAGCTTATAGTCTTTATTGTCTTTAAAGTGTGTTTCCTGCACACAAATTATCTCAGACTTGTTGGATTTTGCTTATTTAAATAGTAATTTTCTCTTGTGCGCGGTGTTCAGGCCCCTCACATCAAACAACAAATATTTTAAGACCATGATTTATTCCATAAACCATGGTTAATAAAGAAAAAAATATTAATAATGTGAGAGCTCCAAGAAAGATATAAGCAAATCCAACAATATTGCTAAAATCTAGACGTCAGAAGTTTTTTACATGTATGAACAATGGTATGAAATGGATGAGCTTGTTTAAATGGTAAAAGATGTGCTGAGCTAGTTCCATCAAGCGTTGTACAAGTTATCACATTAATGTCACATGTTCATTCTCACCTTGCGACATTGATAGTGGTTGCCTTGCCAATAAACACGGTAGTGCCATTCAGCGGCCATGGGTCAATATGTCAGACCCCTGCAGCATATTGATGACCGCTGGCGATCAACACTAATTTATAACACCACGTCTGCCCACAGCATGAACGACGTCGGCGTGACGTCATGTAAAGGACGCACACGCACCTTCTTGGGTCAAAGGACGGTTTGTGGGGGGGGGGTGGGGGCGGCAGTGTATGAATGTGTGCTGAATAGGGTAGGAGGCTTATTCATATTTTTTTTTTAAATACAAATAAATATTCATTATGTCCCCCTCCCTTCTTACCTTTATTGAGGTGGAGGGGGGACATTTCTCCATCCCTGGTGGTCCATGGGGATTCCATTGTGGTCCCAGTGAACTCTAGCCCGCAGGTCCATGGCTAGAGTTCACTCTTGCGAGATCTGGAGCGTTGCTGTGGTAACTGCGGCAATGCTCTGTGCCCGCGAGAGTAGGACTCAAAGGAGCTGCAGGCTGAGTTCCCAGGTCCTCTCTCACTCCCCTGCCCGCTGTCAGCACGGTGCCTGCGGACCGGGGAGGGAGATCTCTGATCTCCCCTCTGGTCCATGAAGGCACATTGCAGGGTTGGCACTTGGACAAAGCCAGCCCTGCATTACCCAGCAGGGGAGAATCTTGGGGGGGGAGCAATTGCCCCATTGCCCTCCCCCCTTGATCCGCCAATGGACACAGTACTACGTGCTGGATCAACTTGTAATCCTGACAATCACACTTTGCTGCATAGCCGCAGACCAGTTAGAGTGACCATAATGACAGCTGGCCACTGCTTAAAACACCTTCAATAAGGACATTAACGCCATAACTGGACCATGGAGAAATAGAAGAATGCCTTGTCTGACAAATCATATTTTCATTTAGATCAGGTGGATGGGTGGATGGATGGGTGCATGTGTGACATTTACCTGAGCAACAGATGGTAGCAGGGTGTACTGTGGGAAGCAGGCCGGTAGAGGCAGTGTTATGATCTGGGCAATGTTCTGCTGGAAAACCTTGGGTCCTGGCATTGATGTGGTTATTACTTTGACACATACCACCTACCTAGAGAATGTTGCAGACACGTACACCCCCTCATGTCACTGGTCTTCCTTGATCGTAGTGGCCTCTTTCAGACAATGCCACAATGCAAAAAATATTCAGGAATTGTTTGAAGAACATGGCAAAGAGTTCAAGGTGTTGCGTTGACCTCTAAATTCCCCAGATTGTAAAGGGACACTATAGTCACAAGCAGGGGAGGGCTGGCAGCCTTAGGCCTGGGGGGCAAAACCAGTCAAGTGGCCCATTGCACCACCAAATCAGTGCAATGGTGCCCACCTTTTCCTGGTTTTATAACGGATATTGATGTTATGCTAATCAGTAGCTCTTTGCCATACCCGCTCCTTCACGGCTCTGAGTGTGTTTACATTAAAAAGCCTGCAGGGACCGGCTACAGACACCAGAACCACTTCATTAAGCTGCAGTCGTTCTGGGGACTATAGTGTCCCTTTAATGTGAGGTCAATTATAGATTAGTGTCACTAATAATATACTAGATTGCCTACTTACAACAAGATGAGCATGATGATGGGCTGCAGTTTGGCTCCACTGGTCTGGTGTAGAACAGGATCTCTGGAGGATGTTTGCAACTGTGGTCACAACATTCAATGTTCTGGGAGAATTGGAAGCAGCTCAAGTTCTGGGCCCCAGGGCCTGACGGTGCGTATGCCCAAAAGGCCCACTCATAAGTCCACTTATATGTTCCACCCACCCATGAGTTCGCTCACAGAGAGTGGAGTGTGTAGGGGATGTGTTATGTGTTATTGTAGAGGATCTAATATGTGTGCTTATGGTATGTAGTGTATAGGGATACCAGTTTGTGCAGGTAATGCAGTGTGTTTGTGTGTAGTGGAAGCAGTGTGTATTTGTGTATAAGAGATGTATTTTGTGTTTCTGGTTGTGTGCAAAGGATGCATTGCGTGAATGCCCCCTGTCCTATAGAGCTGTCATTTCTGTCCCTTAGAGCTCTCCCCTGCCCCTTAGTGGTCTCTCCTCTCCCTCACCCTCCCTGTGCTCTTCTCATCCACCCTCCCTGTGTTCTCCTCACCTCCCCCATCCCTGTGTTCTCCTCACATCCCTCCTCCCTGTGTTCTTCTTATCCGCTCTCCTCCCTCTGTCCTCCTCACCTCCCCCTCCCTGTGTTCTTCTCAGTCCCCCCTTCTCCTCATCTCCCCTTCTTACTCTCTACTCCTCCTTGTGTTCTTCTACTCCTCTTCTTACCCCCTGTTCTTCTTACCTCTCTCCCTCACTCTCCTCCCTCTTCACCTTTTCCCTCCCTCCCCCCTCCACCTCTCCCTCCCCCCCTCTTCACCTCTCCTCCCCTTCACCTCCCTCCTCCCCTCACCTCTCCTCCCCTCCCCTTCACCTCTACTCCCCTCCCCTTCACCTCTCCTCCCCCCTCCCTGTGTTCTCCTCACCTCGCCCCTCCCTGTGTTCTTCTTATCCGCTCTCCTCCCTGTGTCCTCCTCACCTCCCCCTCCCTGTGTTCTCTTCAGAACAACTACAGCTTATTGCATTTGTTCTGATGAATATAATCATTTCCTTCAGGCTTTTTGCTGTAAACACTGTATTTTCAGAGAAAATGTAGTGTTTACATTTAGCCTACCGATAACTTCACTAGCCACTCCGTAGATGGCTGCTAGAGGTGCGTCCTGGAGCAGTGCAGAGTAAGCAGCACTGCCATTCAGTGTCTACACCCTCTGCATGCAGACACTGAACTTTTCTCATAGAGATGCATTGATTCAATTCATCTCTTTGAAGAGATGCGGATTGTCCAGGGTTGTGTTTGACTTGTGCTGTCTCTCTGGCTCTGCTCCTGATCTACCTCCTTGACAGTCTCAGCCTATACTATGTGAAAGCAGTGTGATTGGCTCAGACCACCACTTCTGATGATGTCAGCAGACAGAGGCAGTTCACAGGCAGAAGCAATAGCTTCAAACTTAAATACAAGTAAGATTTTACTATATTTAGGGAGGCAAGAGCGGGCAGGGGGGCTAGATGGTGGTTTTAACACTATAGGGTCAGGAATACATGTTTGTGTCCCTGACCCTATGGTGCTCCTTTAATCCTATTGAGCATCTGTGGGATATGCTGGAACAATAAATCCGATCTATGGAGGCCCCACCTTGCATTTTGCAAGACATAAATCATCTGCTGCTAATGTCTTGGTTCCAGATACCACAGGACAGAGGTCTTGTGGAGTCCACGCCTTGATAGATCAGAGTTGTTTTGGCAGTACCAGGGGGGCCTACATGATACTAAGTAGGTGGCTTTAATGTTGTGGCTTATCAGTGTATTTCATGGATAAGTCAAAATCAGACTTTAATTGCTAATGGAGCCAGGTTCACCAGATTATGAGTGACCAGCAGTTTTATATATGTCCTGTCCCTGCTTGATATATAAAACTGCTGGTCACTCAAAATACAACATATCCCAGACATATAACTTGTAGACTCTATACAACTTAAATCCTCAAACTAACAAGACACTTACAAGAGTATTGTGGCCGCCTTCCCAGAGGTTTGTCCTGGCATATGAGAGAGACCATCTGAAATACTACTTATTAACTATTTATAGATTATGAAACTTGATGGTCATAATGCAGCAATAAGCTTAGATGTGTAGGTATATCACTTCATGTGGTAGCTAGTGATGTCCCGAATGGTTCGCCGAACGGTTCGCCACGGCTGGCGAACATATGCGCTGTTCGATCCGCCCCCTATGTCATCATTGAGTAAACTTTGACCCTGTACCTCACAGTCAGCAGACACATTCCAGCCAATCAGCAGCAGACCCTCCCTCCCAGACCCTCCCACTTCTGGACAGCATCCATTTTACATTCATTGTCAAGTTGCATTCTTAGTGAGCTGTCCAGGAGGTGGGAGGGTCTGGGAGGGAGGGTCTGCTGCTGATTGGCTGGAATGTGTCTGCTGACTGTGAAGTACTGGGTCAAAGTTTACTCAATGATGACATAGGGGGCGGACCGAACAGCGCATATGTTTGCTGTCCGTGGCGAACCGTTCGGCGATCCGTTCGGGAAATCACTAGTGGTAGCTTGATAAAGGCCCAGTAGGGTCAAAACGTTGCTGCTTTTGCCCCAATAAAGCTGATATTTTTGTTATCCTGAACCGTTATATAATCTGCGTATCTTGGAAGGAAGGCCTGGCCAGCCCTGGTTTCAAAGCACCAGGGTTATTTGGTCAGTGCGTTATTCAGTACGTCGCTACTGATCTCTCACAGATGTCATTGAACTTTGTCTATTTAGAGTCCCTTTATCGATTAACCCAGTTCTTATAACAATAATCTTAATAAAACCTTCCATGTATATAAGCTCTGATGTGATGCGTGTGAAAAGCTGATACAATTGGTTGTGTAACACTGCAGCCATAATTCACCAATCAGAAGAATTCCTTTAGTTACCGACGAGGTGCTTAAATTTATCTTTTAAGACTATTCCTCCAGGACACTAATATATTTTAGAATGTGATTAAGAATTCCAAGTTAAGATTATTAAATGTGTTTGTCATGAACGTTTATCAATGTCTGTGTTTCATTCAGGGGGGTTTATATTTGTTCTAACGAGGTTATTTCCTGAAGTTAGAATTGCTGGGAATGAAAAAAAAAAAGTAAAGTGAATTTCAGGTTTTTGACCAAAAGAGCTGAATTGGAAACATAACTGATTTAAAGAATTTTTTTTTTTTGTTTTTGGCCTTAAATTTTACATTTACTTTCAATTTCCCACAATTCTAACTATAATTAATAACTTGTGACCCCTTGATGTGATTTATGTGAAATTCTGTTGCAATTCACTGTACTCTATCCACCAATCAAAAACTCCTAACTGATACTAAATACATTTGTCAATTAAACAGATAAAGAATGAAACACAAAAGACATAAGGAAATAATTTTATATAATTGGATTAATTTATTATTAGTTTATACTGGGGTATTTTTATAAATAGAATATAAAATACATATTGCATGTCAATAGACTTTGGTATTTATATAGATTAAAAGGCTAAAAATTAATAATGGTAATTTATAGATAATACTATTAATATAATGTATATATTTATGGAATTTTTTGGGTGTGTACAGCAGCACTCAGGACAGGAAAAACCCCCGGTGGAGGAAACCTGTGAGGAACCATGGCTGCTGCACTGCCCCTCCTCCAGGCATACTAATAATTGGGGGGGTCAATTAACCATGCTTAGCCTTTAAATTATGTAATTTGGAAATTATTGCCAATAACGTCCCTGAATTTAATATATTCTATCCTCTCACTAGTGGGGCTTTGCCTATTATGCTGCTCCTCGGTGGAACCCGAGCCTGGGAGAGTGCGGCTCTCACTAGTGTGGCTGGGCCCGTTGTACTGCTCCTTGGTGGAGCCCAAGCCTGTGAGAGTGCGGCTCTCACTAGTGGAGCTGGGCCCAAAGCGCTCCTCCTTGGTGAAGCCTAACCTGCAGAGGAAAGCTCTCACTAATGTAGCTGTGCCTGGGGGACTGCTCCTACGCTCTCCTGCACCTCCTCTTTCATGACACTGTTCTTTTAATGTTCCTATTTCCCTAGAATTTTTCAGTGTCTACTTTTCTTTGTAGTACCACTTCTCTCATCCTATCCATACTGGAGTCACCCAAGGTTCTGTCTTTACCATAGTTACATAGTAATCTAGGTTGAAAACAAACTGAGACAGAGACATCTCTGATTGGATGTCTTCCTGCTTTATAAAACTCAATCTGTCTAAAACTGAGCTCCTTAACTTCCCACCTTAATTAATGATCCTCCTTTGTCACTCCCCATGTGCATCATTCCAACTTTTCAAGCTAACTGCGTTTTTTCTACATCTTTTATTGTGGCCTCACCTTTGTCCAGTCAGTCGCCAAAGACTGCCAATTCCACCTTAAAGGACCACTATAGTGCCAGGAAAACAAACTCGTCTTCCTGGCACTATAGTGCCCTGAGGGTGCCCCCACCCTTAAGGCCCCCTCCTCCCCCCGCCAGGCTGAAGTTGGAGGAAGGGGTTAAACACTTACCTTTTTCCAGCGCCAGGCTCCCTCAACGCTTAGGGCTCTTCTCCCTCTTCGGCTGAATGTGCATGCAGGGCAAGAGCCAATAACGTCCCTGAATTTAATATATTCTATCCTCTCACTAGTGGGGCTTTGCCTATTATGTTGCTCCTCGGTGGAACCCGAGCCTGGGAGAGTGCGGCTCTCACTAGTTTGGCTGGGCCCGTTGTACTGCTCCTCGGTGGAGCCCAAGCCTGTGAGAGTGCGGCTCTCACTAGTGGAGCTGGGCCCGAAGCGCTTCTCCTTGGTGAAGCCTAACCTGCAGAGGAAAGCTCTCGCTAGTGTAGCTGTGTCTGGGGGACTGCTCCTACGCTCTCCTGCTCCTCCTCGATGGGGTCCAAGTATCATTTTTTTCCTCCTCCTAAACTCTTCAAACTATTGTCTTTCATGACACTGTTCTTTTAATGTTCCTATTTCCCTAGAATTTTTCAGTGTCTACTTTTCTTTGTAGTACCACTTCTCTCATCCTATCCATACTGGAGTCACCCAAGGTTCTGTCTTTACCATAGTTACATAGTAATCTAGGTTGAAAACAAACTGAGACAGAGACATCTCTGATTGGATGTCTTCCTGCTTTATAAAACTCAATCTGTCTAAAACTGAGCTCCTTAACTTCCCACCTTAATTAATGATCCTCCTTTGTCACTCCCCATGTGCATCATTCCAACTTTTCAAGCTAACTGCGTTTTTTCTACATCTTTTATTGTGGCCTCACCTTTGTCCAGTCAGTCGCCAAAGACTGCCAATTCCACCTTAAAGGACCACTATAGTGCCAGGAAAACAAACTCGTCTTCCTGGCACTATAGTGCCCTGAGGGTGCCCCCACCCTTAAGGCCCCCTCCTCCCCCCGCCAGGCTGAAGTTGGAGGAAGGGGTTAAACACTTACCTTTTTCCAGCGCCAGGCTCCCTCAACGCTTAGGGCTCTTCTCCCTCTTCGGCTGAATGTGAATGCAGGGCAAGAGCCAATAACGTCCCTGAATTTAATATATTCTATCCTCTCACTAGTGGGGCTTTGCCTATTATGTTGCTCCTCGGTGGAACCCGAGCCTGGGAGAGTGCGGCTCTCACTAGTTTGGCTGGGCCCGTTGTACTGCTCCTCGGTGGAGCCCAAGCCTGTGAGAGTGCGGCTCTCACTAGTGGAGCTGGGCCCGAAGCGCTTCTCCTTGGTGAAGCCTAACCTGCAGAGGAAAGCTCTCGCTAGTGTAGCTGTGTCTGGGGGACTGCTCCTACGCTCTCCTGCTCCTCCTCGATGGGGTCCAAGTATCATTTTTTTCCTCCTCCTAAACTCTTCAAACTATTGTCTTTCATGACACTGTTCTTTTAATGTTCCTATTTCCCTACAATTTTTCAGTGTCTACTTTTCTTTGTAGTACCACTTCTCTCATCCTATCCATACTGGAGTCACCCAAGGTTCTGTCTTTACCATAGTTACATAGTAATCTAGGTTGAAAACAAACTGAGACAGAGACATCTCTGATTGGATGTCTTCCTGCTTTATAAAACTCAATCTGTCTAAAACTGAGCTCCTTAACTTCCCACCTTAATTAATGATCCTCCTTTGTCACTCCCCATGTGCATCATTCCAACTTTTCAAGCTAACTGCGTTTTTTCTACATCTTTTATTGTGGCCTCACCTTTGTCCAGTCTGTCGCCAAAGACTGCCAATTCCACCTTAAAGGACCACTATAGTGCCAGGAAAACAAACTCGTCTTCCTGGCACTATAGTGCCCTGAGGGTGCCCCCACCCTTAAGGCCCCCTCCTCCCCCCGCCAGGCTGAAGTTGGAGGAAGGGGTTAAACACTTACCTTTTTCCAGCGCCAGGCTCCCTCAACGCTTAGGGCTCTTCTCCCTCTTCGGCTGAATGTGCATGCGGGGCAAGAGCCAATAACGTCCCTGAATTTAATATATTCTATCCTCTCACTAGTGGGGCTTTCAACACTAATTTATAACACCACGTCCGCCCACAGCATGAACAACGTCGACGTGCGCGTGACGTCACGTAAAGGACGCACATGCACCTTCTTGGGTCAAAGTTTGTGTGTGAGTGGGGGGGTGGCAGTGTACGAATGTGTGCTGAGTAGGGTAGGGGGCTTATTCATAATTTTTTTTTTTTTAAATAAAAATAAATATTCATTATGCCCCCCTCCCTTCTTACCTTTATTGAGGTGGAGGGGGGACATTTCTCCATCCCTGTTGGTCCATGGGGATTCCATTGTGGTCCCAGTGAACTCTAGCCTGCAGGTCCAGGGCTAGAGTTCACTCTCGCTAGATCTGGAGCGTTGCCGTGGTAACTGCGGCAATGCTCTGTGCCTGCGAGAGTAGGACCCAAAGGAGCTGCAGGCTGAGTTCTCAGGTCCTCTCTCACTTCCCTGCCGGCTGTCAGCAAGGTGCCTGCGGACCGGGGAGGGAGATCTCTGATCTCCCCTCTGGTCCATGAAGGCACATTGCAGGGCTGGCACTTGGACAAAGCCAGCCCTGCATTACCCGGCAGGGGAGAATCTCGGGGGGGAGCAATTGCCCCATTGCCCTCCCCCCTGGATCCGCCAATGGACATAGTACTACGTGCTGGATCAACTTGTAATCCTGGCAATCACACTTTGCTGCATAGCCGCAGAGCAGTTAGAGTGACCATAATGACAGCTGGCCACTGCTTAGAGCACCTTCAATAAGGACATTAACGCCATAACTGGACCATGAAGAA